ATGGCTAAAATCCATAAATAATTAAAATAGAAACATACATTAAAAATATCCTAACCCCCCCTGTAATTTTTAGCCCTAAAACCTTCAAGACGCTGGGGGGGGGGGAAACCAACCCCATCACCCCACCAGCCATCTCCACAGCTGCGAGCCCCCATCCAGCCCCCCGGCCTTCTGGCAGAGCCAGGATTTCACCCCTTTTCTGAAGGCCACGAGGGAGGGGGCACACCGGACCTCATATACACACCGGACTTTAATATAAATTTATTAAATTTATATGCTGCTCCTCTCCCCCAGAGGGTGACTCTGGGCGGCTCTCCATTAAAATAAACCCTCAAGAACTGTTAAAAATATAAATATCGCATTAATTTAGTTAAAAAGTCGAACTGTATAAATTTTGCCAAGCAGGCTGCTCTTCCACGCACAGCAAAACCATGGAATAAATCCAAGATACACTAGACTTGGTATAGTTCAAAACAAGCAAGGAACAAGCAACTGGGCCCATCGTACCCCTCCTTAAAAAGGGGGGGGATCCAAGCCTACGCGCATGGTGCATTCCTCACCATTTCCTCTCATCCCCCCAACCCCACAGCCCCTCTCTTCCCCTCGAAACATTTTAAACATGGTCTCCAGCTTTTGGAAGATTTCTCATCCCTGCTGAAATCCATTAGCTTAGCTGAACCGGGGCCTTCTCCGTGGTGGCCCCGAGCTTCTGGTCCGCTTCCTCCAGGTGGAGTTGGGAGGCTCCTCCTTTTTTTCCAGGAGCTGTTGGAGCCGTCGAGACGGCTGCCTTTTCCCAAAAAGTTTAGCAAGGAAACAGGGGTGTCCAAAGTGTCTGCAATGTGGATGAAAAACCCAGCAGAGGTCAATGGTACTGTGGCGGCTGCCATCTTGACTGTTTTGGGCCATACCCTGCAGACACCCCTGCCCTGAAAAATAGGGATGGTTTTGTACACTTAAAAGCAAAGCTTTTTTGGGCTCCTTGCTTGAGCAGTGGGCTGAAATGAGTAGGATGGGGTATAACCAAGAGAAATGTAAAGTTCTGCATCTAGAAAATGAGGTATAATTAAAGGTGTAAGTATAGTGTGGGGGGGGGGGAACCTGGATTGAAAGGGATCTGGAGTACCTCTTGGCAACAAGTTATACATGAGCCAGGCCTGTGGTAAAGCTGCAAAAAAGGCAAATGCTATCTTTGTGTGAACTAGCAGGAGCAGAGAGTTTAACTCAGAGGAAGTAATTCTTCTCCTTGTTTCCATCTTGGTGAGAGATGGAATCCCACAGTCTTGTACCCCACAGCTTAAAAGAGGTATCAAGAAACTTGAGTGAGTTCAGAGGAGGGCTACCAAGAAGGTGAGGGCTCTGGAAACCAAGTTGTACAAGAAATGGTTAAAGAAACTGGGTACATTTAGCCTGCAGGAGAGCAGAAGACCAAAGGGAAATGTAGTATCTGAAGGGTTGTCCCACAGAGGAGGGAGTGGACTTACTCTCTCCTACCCTAGATGGCAAGACCAGAACCCGTGGGTTAAACGTTCAAAGAAGTGGTTCAGACTAAACATTAAGAGAAACGTGGATTGTATAAGACCCAACGGGGCAGGCTAGCACATGAAATGCTAGATTCTCCATGGCTGGATGACGTCTGTCATGAGATGCCCCAGTGGATCCTCCATTGAGTAAGGGTTGGACTTGATGACTTTTAAGGTTCCTCCCAACTCTGTGATTGGTGGCTTACTCTCTTTAAGGCGTAGGCACTACCACCCTTTAGATGTGCTGAATTGCCACCAAACATAGCCTCCATGAAAAATGGTTGAGAAACACTGATAATAAAGCCATGGATTCGTCTAAATAATGTGTGATTGACCTGTTTGCCATCAGGCCAGAAGCCATAGAGATTGGGAACTGATGGTCTTTGTGTTTTCTCCTGTGGGTCACCCCTTCATGGTATCTGAAGAGTGATATTATATCCCCATCCTGTCATCTTTTCCCCAGGCAACAATCCATTCTTTCTTCCATCTCCCCTTGCAAGAAGTAACTTCTAGTCCCCTAAACATCTGGTCACCCTTTGTCAGCCCTTCAATGTAGACAAGGTCAGGCAATCGACACGCCAAGAATACTTTACTGCAATAGGGTAGAATCGCAGAGTCTTGAAGGCCCACCAGAGCTCCTCTCTGCCCCCTCTTAAACCAAAGAGAATCAAGATGGGGCAATCTTGAGTTTCTTTCTCACACCTTCCTCTTTCTCGGGACTGAGTTGTCGTTTCCCCTCCCCTAACCGCTTCTGCCAGCCTTTGCCAAGGTTAGCTCTACTTTCCTTTACACCCTTGTTCATTTCTGATCTTTCTGCTGTTTGCCTGAATGCTTAAAGTGCAGCGCCCGGAAGTGGACGTCGAACTCAAGGTGGGGTCTGACCAAACGTGATTTGGAAACTGGCCTCCTGTTGCTGCAGCCTAAATCTGCAATGGCCCTTTCAGTCACGACCTCACACTTCCAGCTCACATTTGATTATCATCAGCTCCGTCCTTTTTCTCACACAGGCTGTGACAAGGTACGGGTAGTTTTCAATCTCTATCTGCACGCTTGAATTTTTTTTTGTCCGAAGTGAAGAACATTGCATGTCTCTGCTCAGTTTCACGCTGTTCTGGTCAGCCTACCTTGCTCTCTGACCAGTATCACTTTGAAATGTCTTGTTCTTCTCTAGTATTATTTGCTATCACACCTAAATTTGAGTCCCCTGCCAACTGAAACATCCCCGGCAATTGTTTCTCCAAGCCATTAAAAAAAAACACGTTAAAAATGTTGAAGAGCATCAATCTGAGAACCTTTAGTAACTGTCACTCATATGCCAAACTACAGTATGTGGATTCCAATAAATAAGCATTTTAAGTCTCCAAACATTCAGTAGTTGAGGGTGCTTTGTTCTTATCCATGTTCTTCCCTGGGAAACTGGTGTGTTTTCCGCTGTATTTCAGACTCAGGCAAAACACTCCCATCACGTGAGGTTGTTTGCACAAGATGGAACTCAGCTGGCTATCAAGATAGCCAGCCAAGGGGATTAATTCAACACCGTGAGACCAATTCATGGTGGGATGAAGCAAATGAAGGCTAAATCTTAATTTTCAGCCTCATCAGCTCCTTATTCTTCCTGCCATATGACACACCCCTCACCCAAAATATCCCACGTATCTGATGGGGCCAACCAGCTGCCATAACATTCCTACGCCTTGATAAATTAGTTGGTCTTCACGATATCACAACTTCTTCTCTCTTTCCCTACAGTTCACCAAGCCCCCTCTCCTGAATCTATCTCCTTTCAGGAGCTACATCTGGGCTCCAGGTTCCCTGGAAGCCCAGCACAAATCTGTCTGCATTTGCCTAGAAATGGATCGAGGGGGCTTTACACCCATAGACCTGTGCAGGAGATACAAGCAGCCAAACCGTAGTGCTCAAAAAGTCAACTTACTTCAGCCGTTCAGGAGGAGCAGGAAGGGAAGCGCATGTCTACGATCTGTCCTACTGACGAACACCCGTTTCTCATGGAGTGTCTCGCAGACGTCCTTCCAGCGAGAACCTCAGCTCCTGCTTGCACACCCTTTTCTGCCGCTGCAGGCACCCCCAGCTCCCGCACAGCCGTTTCCCCAAGAAGGTGTGGGTATCACCAGCCACACAGCGCACAGCCAAAAATAATGCTTTGTTTCCTGCCCACGCTGCCCAATTGCAAGCTGCTTTTTGAAACCAAAAACTGAAGAGCACGTAGATCTGGCAGATAGGCGGGGAGCGAATTGTATACCTTTGTGGAACCTTCCAGCCACACTGTAGCTCTTTGGGACCCTCGTTTATAGAGGGCAGAGAGGAAGACCAGGAGTGGAGAGTCATTGCTCCCAGACGTGGCTGGAGCCTCACCCTGCCCTGCCTGAAGGGAAAGGGTCAGAGATGAAATCAAACCTGGCAAGATCCATGTCAGCTGAAGATGGTCTTTCCCCCACGGCTGCTGACTTCAGTCCCTGGCAATGGAAGGTGAAGCCTCCTTTTTCCCCAGATGTGGCTGCCTATTGCTAAACATTGGATCTCCCACAGTAACTACAGATGCTGCCTGAAAGCCGAAGCCCTCAAGAAGTCTTCAACTTCCAGCCTCAACATTTCCAGCCAGGCGGGAGATATTCCTAGAATTTAGCTGCAATTCTTCTTGAAGACCCCATCCAGTCTTCGCAGTTTCTGTTGCTCAACACAAACAGCGGGAAAGGAAAAAATGGTGGCCTGAGCACCTTTTGAAGACTAGCGTCAAAGAACCATCATCATTATGCATGTCCCTGTAGCCAAAGTCCTCTTGAATGTTTTAGTCCAGGTGCAAAACCTGATATTTCTTTCCAGAATCTGGATTTTTTTTTTCGTGAAGTAGGCAAAATATTGTCAGGCCCCCAGCTATGTAACCCTACGAATACTCACTTCTGTCCACAGAAATGGCTCCGTGCTCCTTAATGAGGCTCATGCTTACTCATTTAGAAGATTTCTATCTGGCCCAATCCCTGTGGTTCTAGGGAAGGGGGTTACAATCCAAGGGGGTGGCTCAAAACTTGAGTTGATTGCCCCCCCACCTTAAAGCTTTATCCAGGTAGCCTTCCTCATGTGACCTAGAAACCTGTTCACCAGTAAAAGGTAGACATGAAAACACGGGTAGGCTCAAATCTGTACGAGATGGGCAGTTTGCAAGGTGTGTACCTTCCCACTCTTCTACGGCTGACACATTTCAGTGGCAAACCTCAAAACAGCCATGGTCCAATTTCTAGCAGAAAACCAACCAAACCAACCAAAAACTGCTGAAAGATTTCCTGTTGGGCGCCAGGACTACATGCAGAGAGCTTACACGTGTTCCAGCAGTCCACGCCAACCCTACACACCTGCCCCGAGAAGCAAGAGTTCATGAGTTCAGTGGACGCCTACTGTTGCAATCAGACAGTTAAGAACATCCCACTCTCTGGCAGTTCCTGGAGTAAGTGGGGGAGGACTAAGAGTGAAGACCTCTATTAATCTTGCCAACATGAACATGAGAACCAGGTTACTTGGGAGTCATTTTCCCCAGCAAAGAAGATGATCACCCTAGTCCGTATTTAAAAAGGAAAACAAATGGGTCTATCCTACTAGCGGGCTTGTCTGCACCAGAAAAGCCAAACCGACACACACTGAAGTTTGCCAAAATCTTTTTCTACGCTCCCCTTCATGAGAACCCACAACTACCATTGCTCCTTGCGAGAAGACAGACTTGAGGCAGCGACAGAAGAGTCAGTTTAACTAAACTTACCTGGGAGCCAGGTATTCACAACCATTCCAATTCAGCATCCTGCTGTTTGTTGGAGTGTTTCTG